CTCAGCCTTGGAAGACTCTTCTGCACATGCTCAAGCTTGTTAGACTTTTGCTTCTGAATGTGAGGGTTCCTTTCAGACTGCATGTGGCTCGACTCTGAGCTGCTCAAGTGAAGGTGTTTTCCTCTTGTGGTGGCAGGCTGTGTGCAAGAGTGGAGGGTAGGAAGCTGCTTCCTGTCTTGCAGTGCTTACCATGCCAGTGCCCACCGTTAGGATGGGGCAGGTATCCATGAAGATCTAGTTGGGTGTTGGTCTTGGAGCTGTGAATCAAAGTGGAAGAGCCTAGAGTGGAGGAGGGACCATGGGTGTCAGGGGATATGAGATATCTATAGACTTAAAACCAACTCTGGCATTTTAATTGTTCCTTTGTTGCTTTGGGCTTTGCTGGTACCCACTCTGTTATATAACAGCACAGCAGTTGAAATACTTGCCCAGTAAGTTGGAGGTCTTGCGTTAAAAGAGTTTACTCTGCAAAAAGCTTTCCCAAAGGTAAGAGGTCAAACACACCCCTCTGCTTAGTGCTTTCCGTTGACGGTTTCAATGAATTTCAAATTCAGCATGTGGATTTTTTTTATCACTTTTGAGAGATTCTTTTCGCACACTCTGAGGACTCTAGACCTTAAATTTTGGCCTCTTCTCTGGTTATTAAAAGTGCCTGGAGTACACATCTATTTTATTGGCACCTAAATTGCTTGAGAAATCTTACTGCTTGTAAGTATGGCTAGAAACTTAATCTATTGTAGTTTAAAAGGTACATAGAGCCATTTTAACTACATGATTTGAACAGGATCCTAGTTATGAATTTACATTATTTATCATTTTAGTCTGGCTCTAAATACTTGCACCCCTGCTTCTCCACAACTATTTTTATTTAGTTAGGATGTACAAATTTAAAACTCCCATTGCTATAAGTTCTCTTGGGAGTATACTATAAATCTATCTCAGAAGGATCTCAGCCTTCTATTACTCCCGATTTTTAATTTTGCCTAATGGATGCTTCAGCCATTGAAATACATCTATAATGCAAGTTGGGTTTTGAGCCTTATCCTTAATTGATGGTAATTATTCTGTCCAAGTTTCTACATATTAAATTGAACTCTCAAATCAGCCTTTGCAAGTTGAAGGCAGATACCAACACTCAAAACTGGTTTTCATCATGTCCTGTCTTACATGTACCTTTTTCAGCTAGAGCCTTGTGCTTGTGAATTCCAAGCAACTGTCTCAAAGTTATTTTTGTAGACTATTAACTTCACATAATTGTGTTTTAAAGTAAAAATTATAAGTGTTGGGGCTTTTAATATACAGGTCCTGTTGACTCTTCTTGAACGAGAAGTTTATTTAAACTGAGTGTTACCAAATAGCTGGATTTGATTAAATTGCATAAAACAAACAGTTTGTAATCTTGAGGCAAGAGCTTGTTCTTGTGTCCTTCCTCTGTGTCCTCACTATGTGAAATTGTTTAAATAACCCCCTGAACAGTTAATTAGGTCATGATATAGATGATCTAAGTGGAATTTAGTAATAAGATAATTGTCACAAAGTTTGACTGCTGTTAGTTTAGTGTTCTGTCATAGATATTTGAGGTAAAATACTTCAGATATCTGATACTGTAGTTTATAGTCTCTTATTGTTTGGCTGTTTACAGCTGAATGTGTTAAAAAGAAAGGGGGGGTAGTGCAAAAAACCCAAACTTAAAGAAACCAAACTGTCCTGTGTTGTCCTGTCCCCTCCCCATCCCCCCCAAAAAAACCACAACCAACCAACAAAACCCAAAGACACACAAAAAAAAACCCCAAACCCAATGTGGTTAGTACAGGGCATGTCTGATGAAATACTTGCAACACAGTGACTGGTTATCTCTTACCTTCATCAAGCCACACTGTAAGAGGCAGCTTTCTGTGTGTTGGTTGAGTCTATACAATACCTCTCAATACTAGTCTTTGAGAAGGTAGACAATAGAAGAGATGGATCTGTTCCAAAGCTGTCTCCAATTGATTGGGAGAAGATATTTGTGCAATAATTACATTATGCTATTCTCTGGTAGGGTTACTCCTGAATGCTGTGCAAGTATTCATAGCTATATGCAAGTAAGTGTCATATAGATGAGATGCTGGGGGATATGATGTAGGGGAAAACTTTGTAGAATAGGGCTGATGATTGGACTCAGTGATCCCAAGGGTCTTTTCCAACCTGAATGATTCTGTAATTATATTAATTTAAGCTTGATTTGATTTAGTCTGCACATAACTTCTGTGTCCACTAGAAAATTATTACTATATACATACGCATTTCTGTGTGCCAAATAGGTATGCTATTCTGGCCTGAAATGCATAACCAAAAATTTTTCAAATGCACTAAGAGAGAAAGTAGTAGCATTTTCCTTTTCTAAGTAGTTTACAAGATGAAGTTGCTGCTAGCCCAAGGTCATTGAAAATATAGTAGTTAATGAAAATATAGTAGTTAATGTAGTAGTACTGAAAATATAGTAGTTAATGGTGATGGAAGAAACATCACTTCAGGACCCATGCATTAACCAGATCTATATTTGTCTCAAACTATATTCTCTGACCTTCTGAAACCTGTTATTTCTTAGCAGGTATTTTGTGCTTAAAAATGACTGTATTTTAAAGGAGCAAAACAACTTGAGTGTTGTTATTCAGTGTTCTTTGTGTATATAATGAACATTAAGATCATGTGTTTTAGTCATCTGGCAAAGTTTTGTCCTATTGCATAATATATCTATGAAACTAGCTGTTACTTTGTTCCCTCAAGTACTAAAATCTTTCTCTGCCCTCCTTTGTCACTCCAATAACATTCTCATCTGAAAATTGATGGTGTTTTCTTCTTAGTTTTTTTTTTTTCTACATTCTTCTCCTTTGTAATGGCTTCTAGGTTAATTTCCAGAGCTGGAGTGTACTTTCAGTCTTGGGTTGAAAGAGGTGCCACAGAGCTTTTGCATGTGGTGGTGTTCTTCTTTTGGACCTGTTCCAAAGGTGTGGTATGTGACAGTTGCTATTAAGCGGGTCTGTGTAAGTGCCGATTTATTACATTTCAGAGCCCTCATAATAATAACCATGAATCTATAGCAATGACTGAGACCGTGTCCATAAGCTAATGGGTAGATGCTTTACTCGGAGCTGCATTTGTGTGTTCAGAAGCAATGACAGGTTTCTTGATTTACTTCTGGGAAGTGGAACTCGGATATTCCAACACCAGAACTGTTTTTAGTAGGGCTTCTAATTAAACCTGACCAGTTCTTCCAATTATGGAATATACTTAGTGTCTTGTTGAATTTAATGTGGACCAAAACTTTTTCAGCTTCAAAAAGGAAAACAAACTAAAAGTATTTTAAGACAATTTTTTTTGATAAATGGAATAGGGCTGTTCAGATAAACTTGGACATGGAAGTAACAGTTTTATGACCAAAAATTGTCTTGGTGCCATGATAAAAGCCTTCAAAAGGTTTCCTGGATTAACACTGAGATATCTGCAGATGACGCTGTACCTAACCACCTCTGTCCTTCCAGACATTTTGGTGTTTGCTAGATGGTTTGCTTTCTTTTGGCCTCAACGATGCTACTAGGAGGAGTTCTTAGGGGGAAAAAAAAAAAAAGGATAAGGAGAAAAATTAGAACAGGATCTATTGCGAGCTTGTTTGGGACTGCAGAGGAGTCAGGGAGCTGAAAGCATGGACATGGCTATCTTGATGGTAATACATGCTTGCATATTATTAAGATGTTTTAAAGCAGTAACTTCCTTTGTGGTTTATAGCTACAGAAAGCTAATGAGTCTTACAGCACCATGAAGGCTGATAAGAGAAAGTTGTTCAGACTGTGTTTGACTAGAACAAGCCTCAGCATTGAAGGTACCCATCAGATAAATAGTTTTACGCACATCTGGGCCATTTGGATGGTTTCCAGCTAGAAGCTTTTGTTTATTTGTGAGTTGTGTAAAGATGCAACCTTTTACATAAGGGCCTAAGATACTTTAGTGTTGAGTAACTAGGACTAACTTAGTAGAGCATGAGGTTTGAAAGGTCTAATTGTCTCATTATTTAGGAAGTCTGTATATTTCTTGTATGCTGTTCATGGATTCAGGGCAAAATGAAGGTTAATCTGCTGGTTTTCTGTGTAAGTTTTGGAGTAACAGGTGTTAAAAGTTAGTGTAGTTCAGTAGATTTCTCTTGCTTGGGTCTAGAATTGAATAAGAATTCATATTCAACTGATTTGTTTTAATTTTCCTGCTTATTTATAAAGTCTCTTTAAGTTTTGAATTCTGTGGTTTAATCAGTGCCAGAATTTGCCTTGAAATATATGGAAGATAGTATCATAAGAAACCAAAGTATCTAAGCACAGTTGGAGCAAACAGAACAACTCACCCAATGTCAGAATTGTTGAGTCATGGTGAGCTGTTGAACGTCCCTTTTAGCTTTTCTCTAAGATTTTTTTCTGTTTTTAAAAAATACTTTACTTGGACATGGTGTAAATTTGAACCAGACTTCTGGTTTTGGGGTTTGGTTTGATACTTCTCTCTTCTAAAATGCAGTAGTTGGTCAAATTTATTATCTTAATTATCACAGAAAAAGAACTGCCCTTTTAAAGTAGTATTCAATGCTGTAAAGTTGGCTCTATTACTGTACTTATTTATGTTACTCTTTAAATGCTCATCTGCTTGGGAGCTGGCAAGGGCACAATATACAGACTAAATCAAAAGAAAAAAGCAGTATCGGGTTTAATAAGAATATGAGCTGCATCAGTGCTATAGCCATAATTACATGTTCGTTGGTGCTGACCTTACAAAGACCATATTTGTGCTCAAGTAAATTTTAGACTGGCTTATATTGAAATAGATTTTGTATCAAGGGGACAGTTACTGAAATTGCTGTAAAAAAATCTTACCTAAATGGGGATAAACCTATGAAAGATTGTTAAAACTTTTTTCTATTCTTTAATGCCTTTCCAGTAATTCAAATGTTAAATAATCATCTCCCGCTCTTTCAGTGTAGAGATTGGTGAAAGTGTGAGAGGAGAAGATGTGTATATCATCCAGAGTGGCTGTGGAGAAATAAATGACAACTTAATGGAACTGCTCATCATGATCAATGCTTGCAAGATTGCATCATCCTCCAGAGTGACTGCTGTAATTCCATGTTTTCCATATGCCAGGCAAGATAAGAAAGACAAGGTAGGTAAGAACTGTGTAATTTTGGAAGGCTTTTTTTCAGTTTGTTCACTTGACATTTTTGTAGAGGAAACATTTTCCTAACCAGTTAAGTGATTTGAAAAATTTGCTTTTTTTTGCATCCTTTTTTGGTAAAATGTTCAATTAACATCTATAGGTGAATGAAATGAAACAATTTTTTTTCTGCTCATGTTTTGACAATTTGCAGGTCTTCAGCTTGAAAAAGTAGCCACATCCTATGTGTGTAGTATATTGCAGAGTACTGTTAGGAAACCTCACCTTATGGGACTGTTTTTCCTGCTTTTTCTAGCTGCTTCCTCCCCCCGCCCCCTTCTCTATGAAGAGAGTATACCCTCTTAAACATTTTAATTGCATGGAATTAAATCCTAAATCTGAAGTGCTGTAACCATTATGTAGGTGGGGTTTACCCTATATGGTTAAACAGAGCCAAATGGAAGGAATTGATTAAATCTGCAATGCATAACAGTAATTAGTAAAAACATTGTTTTATGCTGCAAGACAGGTTAAAGTTTTTATAGCTGTAATAATTATTGATGCAGACCAAAAATAGTATGAAAACCCCATAAATATTCTTCTGATTTTCGTGCCTTGAATTTGGTCTGCCATAATTGATGAATGTACCAGTTCAGTCAAGTTGATAACACAGTAGCAAACTCTGTGGCAATTGAGATTGATTTTAAACACAGCACTAAACTTTTCTATCTCTTCTATATATACAAAAACCCCATAATATTTGGCTTTTAAGATTGGATTGCCATAGTTGTCTTTTTGTAAAATTGCCCCTCTCCAATACTTCCCATAAATTGACTGCCCCCTCCCTTTGACTTTGGACATCAAGCAAGCCATCGTGAAAGCCTTCTGTTGTTCTTTACATTCTTTTATATAAAGTAACAGGACTGAAAAGTAATGCAGAAGCTAAAAATAATAGCAGATATAACAAAACATGTGATGTCTGAGAACAAAGCTAAATACAGAAAAGCTATTTTCTAGTATACTCATTCTTTAAGTGCAGGCACTTTAACACCATGCTAATATTGAGATCCACTTGTTACACTTCCAAAAACGGATTTCAGGAATTAGATGGTAGCTCCCTATTTATTCTTTGCCTACATTGTTTGGAACTTCTTTTTTTTTTTCCTGTGTTTTGTATCGAATAATCTCTTCCACAAATCCAAAAAAAAAAAAAAGTGAAATAGTTATTTTATCAAAAAAACTTGAAAGGGAAGTGGTAAACGTTTTGTTGAAAGGGAAGGAAAACATCTCACTATGTTTTGATTTCCAAATTCATACTGGAAGATTCTGCTGGACCACCCTGTAAGTTCTTGGTGTGGGAGAAGGTTGAATACCTCCCCAAGTTTTCCACGTATCTAGGTTAAGACTTGTTAAAGTTACCCAAAATTCATGTGTCAGACTTTCAAGAGACACTTAAAATCCACAGTGTGGTGGCCCAGCATGCCACCCAGGAGCATTTTGTCTTTTGGAAATGCCATCTGAAGGTGGATAGCCTAGGAAAGTAATTTTGATTAACAGAACGTTGTTCCAGACTGTTCTCTGGGTGTCACTGAGTTCTCCTTTAATTCTAGGCAAGCCATTTCTTTTTTTCTTTAACCTCTGTTTTGCGATTGAGAAAATGTTTGCCATCTTTGGAAATTAACCTTGGTAGTTGACCTCCATGTTGCAAAATAAGCTATAATATAGTTGTCAACACTGGACAGCTTATTGACAGGGAGATGTTGGATTGCATCACATCACTTGGTCTTTGACCCATGTTGAGTGCGCAAGCTTTGTGTGCTGCCTGAAGTGTCAGTAAGTGCCAGCCATTTTCTTCCTATGTTTTGTGTCTCTAGTGAAAGATGTTGCTGTAGTTTGCTTTGCTATTAACTGAAGCAGTATAATATTCAGTAGCTGGATGCTATTTTCTGGTCTGAATTTAAGTTGTTCCATAAAGAACTAAAAAGACTTGAGTCCTTGCTGCTTGAAATAATGCTGTATACTTCATGCCTCAGTTGCAGTTATTGCTGAGAACAATGAAAGCGCCCTTTATTTAAGGAAAGGGCCTTTTAGTAAAAAATCATTCTGCACAAGGCCTGTGTAATCTACTCTGGAAGCGTTAGCATTAAACCTGAACTGGCTTTAAATAAGAAACAGAGGTTTAAAAAAAAAAAAGGCTTGTTGAGATTCATAGAAAAGCTGGTAAATTAATTTAGATGGAACCAAGTGCTGCCATAAACTAGAATACTTCTGATACACAAACTAGCTAATTTAAAATTAGCTCAGGTGTATCTGTTCTTTGGCCATTGTTGCATTTATGCATCCTGTAATTATGCTACTCAGATTCCAAGTCATGGGCAGGACATATTTGTGTAGGATGCTCTGGAGATGGCTTTGAGATAAGTTAGAAGTAGAGTGACAGGTGAGTTTGGTGTTCTACAGCTCATGTAACTTTGTTTTTTTGATTTGTAGAAGGGGTCCGTGGAGCGTTGGGTAGGTATCCTTTTTTTTTTTTTAATCTAACACTATGCATTTTCATTAATATGGCCTTACAGGGTGAAACTTACTAGGTTACATTATGTATAATTGGGAGCATTTTCAGTTTCACTTCTTGATTTCAGTTGTGTTTCACCTAGGCCATGACAGTAATCCTATGGAGTAATTTGCTACTAGAAAACTCCTAGCTTCTAGTTAAAAAATTTTCTGGACATTCAAGATAATGGCTGTCAGCTTCTGAAGCTTCAAAGCATATCCCATTTTTGAAACTACAAATTTAGGTAATGCATTAGTGAACATTCAGTATGCATACACTTCACAACTGGCTTTCTTGGAAGTGACAGTTCCAGTTATAAATCTGTGGGGTTTCTTGGATTATTTTTATTGTTCAGTACGCATGTGATGCATTTGGAGCAAGATAATGTAATAAGATGCTTAAAGGCAACAGAGATTTAATCTTGATGGACAACTTTCAGCTATGTGTCCTTTGTATAGTTACTCTCATGAGGTGGTTTATATTAGTTTTGTGGATTTCCCCCTACCCCTGGTAATTTTAAGAATTGTGAATAATTTTTGTAATGCATCACAAAGGAAGAAATAATTTATATAACTTCTTATCTGTAAGAGGGGAATTTGCTTAGGAACTAAAAACTAAGTGATTATTTTTTTTTTTACAATTTAGTTTCTGTACATAATGTAATGTTGTGTTTCACACTAATAATTCTGAAATTAATTGCAAATTGTGCCAAAGAATGGAGGAATAAATACTGTGAATCTTTGTTCTTGCCTCTCTGATCAGAACCAAACCTTGCAAACTCCAAAATAAAGAAAATCTTGTTCTTATGTACCTGTTATCTAAGCTTCTGAATAATGAGTCTAGGTTATCTGAGGTTCCCATAAATATACTTTGATTTTAAAGTAATCTTCAGTTTGGATTGTATTGTAACACAAAACTTACTTTCTATGCAAGCAATCAAATCTTAAATCCTTTTGAACATGTCATGTGTTTTCTTTCAATGCACAATTTTGTGTAAAGGAAACTGTCAGATAGCTACAAACTTCATTTGTCTTAATCTCCTATTAGCCCATTCTTGAGAAACAGGTATTGGTGTCTGGCTATCTTTCCTTCCAAGACCCTCTGTCCACCAACATGTAGGCAATCTGATGTGTGCATGTCTACTAAAACAAGTTACCTAGTGGTAAAACCTTCAAGTTCTTCCTTCTGGGAAGGCAGCCTGCAAGGCCAACAGCTGAAAGAAGTACCAACTGGTAATGTATACATTAGTATCTGATGCAGGAAAGTATGTATTTTTTTGTGATGGTGATACTCTTGATATTGATAGATGAAACAAGCTAGATGGTATTCACATTGAAGAGAAATGGGAAAAAAAATATCAGCATGCCCCATGGAGTGGAAATGGCAAACTGTGTTCTGGGAAGAACGCAATTTGCCTTTAGCAGCTAGCCTGAACTATTTACTTGTTTCTACCAGGGGGGGACAGTTGTGCTTTGCCATCTTTTCCTTCCTCTTCTATTTGAGCTGCCTCATCTGGCTGCTGTGTGTTCAGACATGTCCCAGCGTGCAGCACAAGGGAAGTGATGGAAGTGTATAGCTTGGACAGGAGGGATGGGACAAGCAGGGGAGCAAACCTCTGTATGCAGCATCATCTTGTTAGTCTAGCTTAGCTGTAGCATCAAATTGGATCTTTGTAAAGAGCTGATAAGGGAATATTGTGTCGGAGTCAAAAGAGTAGAAACTAAGTCTTGGTTTTATTAGATACTGCCAGAGATTTGAGAATATTTTGAAGCTCAGTTTAAATATGTCAGTTTGTACTGCTAAAATGAGCTTGAAGGGATCAGGAATTTGAATGACATGAACCAAAAGTTTACTACTAATAATAGAAGCATCCAGAAAGCTTAGGCTGACTTGGACCTTACGGAACTGAACTTAAATGAGGAGCAGCATAGTTCTCAGTAACTGGAAGATCATCTTTGCTGAAGTGCTAATGACAGAAAATTCTTACGGAAGCTGAATTCATCTGAATTGCAGAGATCTAGGGAAGTGCTAGCTGTTGCATACATCTTCTGTGTATCTTACACCAACCAAATGGTGGTGATGTTCTGTGAAACATAAAAAACAAAAGGGATGGTTTTGAAAAGGAAAAATTTATGTAATTATGGTGATAAACTTGATCCAGCCGTGAGAAAGACTGCAATATCTGTTTCTTTTCCAGAAGTATGTTGGCAATCTGCAGGTTAAAACAAAGAAATACCAAATTTCCACCTAAATTAGTGAAAGTTTTGAGGAAAATACTGGCTCCTTGATATGACAGGTTATCCAGGTTAGATTGGTGATGATTCATCTTATTTTAGGTCATGCCCTTGAGCGGCAGTGGAAGGAGAACTGAGATACTCTCTAATTGTGTATATGGGGTGGAGGGAGAGAGGGTTCCTAGGAAGCTAAATGGGTCTGGCTGATAAAGACATGTAGCAGCAGAGAATGCTGGGCCAACAAAAAAGTCTGACAGTGAGATGGAACCTCTGATCTGCAGTTTTGCCTTCATGCTCATGTTATTGCCAACTATTAGCCTTATTTAAGAATTGACCAAATAAAAAACCACAGGAGGTTTTTCTTTAGTATTTGTTAGAGAAAGCTGCCTAAGGTGACACAGATATTTTTCAGAGCTTAAAAAAAAAAAAAAAAAAAATCTGAAAAAACTTTGCAGTCTCTCAAAAGTAAGGTATCCTCCAGACACAATTTTCCATCTTCTTTTTTTTATGTTGCTGTTTGTTCCGCATTCATTCTTGTCATTTTTAAAAAAGCTCTTGACATTGCATTAACTTTGCTAATTAGATTTTTGCTCTTGTGCTTTCTACTTCTCAAGGCTGTTGTGTTTCTCTTTTTTTCATCCCCCCTTTCCCTTTTGGTAATTCTAGACTCCTAATTGTATCCAACAATTAAGCCTGAATTAGCAAAAAAATAAATAGACCAGGATAGAAGACCTCTGCCAACATGGATATGTTATAAGTTGTATCATGAAGAAATGCTTGATACTAACTTTATTTTAAAGTTTTCAAAATTTGTGTTCACTCTGCCTTCAATCTTTGTTTGGCAATTTTTTTTTAGAACAGGGTAGTTGCTTGAGAATTGGATGTTAATGTAGAGTAGTGGCTTAGGAGAAATGGAGATTGTCTTTCTGCTATAGAAAAGCTAATTGGAAGTTTTAAATAGGAGAACTGGAATTATATACCAAATTTTATCTGCTTGTTAGTCTAATTACTACAGAACATTATTGGGCAGACTATGCAAACTGATTTAGATATTCCTCACTGTTTTGAGTTTCACAACCCTAGCAGCAAGATTAGCTATTGACAGGCTAGTTTGGATAAAGTTCTGGAGTTCTTCCTATCTAGATTCCAAATATTCTAGAGGAAAAAAATCAATAAAAGACGGTAATTTTCTGACTCCCTGCATCTAGTTGAAATCTTTTTAAATTGTAAACATTTGTGCTTTGTTCCTCAGAGTCGTGCTCCAATCTCTGCAAAACTCGTTGCCAACATGCTGTCAGTTGCAGGGGCTGACCACATCATCACCATGGACTTGCATGCTTCTCAGATCCAGGTAACTATCAGTTCTTACTGACTGTGGCTAGGGGCTCTACTGTGAAAGGCTAATATTAATTCTTTAGGTTTTTTTCTCATAGTTTTGAAAGGCTGTGTACAGAAGTGTAATTCTGAAGGTTCAGAAAAAGTCTCACTACCTGTTTCTAATTAAATTTCCCTTTTGAATGAGACCAGCCTTGATTTTTATGGGGTGATTCTGCAGGCACTTTGAGTATTTGTGCATTGGAGTTTTCAGTGGAATTTGCCAAGTCTAGTGTAAGAGCTCCCAGAACATAAAATGTACTGGTTTTAAGGCAAGTTCTCTGAATCTTGGTCTGGTCAGTGATTTTAGTATTGCCCTAGATAGAGTTTTGATGTTACAGCCAAGGGGACAATATTCTCCTCTTAAGAGAAGTGGGGATGGAGGCTGGCAGCCCTTAGCTGGCTTACTGCTGAATCCAGCAAAATCAGAAAACTTTCCTCAGACACAAAACAGACATTGTTTGTCATTCTCATGTGTACCTCTTTTCAGGATAACTTGGTTTTTTTTTCTAGAAAATACCTTCTCTTCCAGTTCTGGTGTTCTGTTTAATCAGAATTTCCTATGCTAGATGGCTGTCATGCAAATAAAAAGCAGTTTCATTTGTGGGCTAACACAGATTTCTTGTTACAACTTGCACAAAAAGAAAGATTCCATTTCTTTTTCTCAAGTAATACTAGCTTGAATATTCCCTGTAATGAAATACTACTGTTCATGTCAAGCAGTTGAAATTTATGGGAGAATTACTCATTGGATTTTCAAGAGCTTTTCACAAGCATGAATTTACTTGGCTGCCTGAAGGTGATCTTTTTCTGATTTTTATAGCATTTGAGAATAGCTGTTCTTTATTTCACTACTCTTGGGTGAGATTTTTAGAGATCTTAATATTTGTCTATACTTCTGCTGCATTAGGTATTATAGTAATATCAGAAGGCAGAATTAGGCCAGTGTAAAATACTAATTAAAGTTCTGCCATACATGAAAGGCAAAAGCTTGATTATTTTCCCATGTCTTTGTTCGAGGTAAGGCATAAATATACATTAATGAAACTTTTTCTCTTTTGGACTAGGGTTTCTTTGACATTCCAGTAGATAACCTGTATGCTGAACCTGCAGTGCTGCAGTGGATTAAAGAGAACATTTTAGAGTGGAGAAACTGTATCATAGTCTCACCTGATGCAGGTGGTGCAAAAAGGTACGATACAAGCCTAAACCTGTTAGTTTTCCATATAGTTAGTGGTTAATGAAATAGTTTCTCTGGTCTACTTTTTTTCCTCTATCAATTGTGCAAGATATAGTGTATATATAACTGGTAAATCCTACTGCATTGTAAAAACAGAACAACTAGTTCTTTTGATGTTGTTCATGCTTGAAAACATCCAGGAACTTTCTATACTCTAAAGAAAATCTTTTTCTCTCTCCCTGAATATGACCTTATTAGCTGAATCCCTCCACAGGAGGGAAGAGATTTTTTTCCTGCTGTTTGCTTCTTTAGTCCAGTTGCTGCACCTCTTCCTGCTTCACTCTGGAACTGCCTAAAGTTCCCCTTCTCTGTCAGAGCATATGGCCTATCCCTACTGTACCTGCTGGCATTTAGGTAAGAGCTTGCTTGAATCATGTTTCTTTTTTCTTTACATTATTGCGTTCCAGCTGTAAACCTATCGACCCCAACTTGTGCACTGTGAATACTAGAGAAGGGGAGTTTTGTTTTGAGTGGCAAAAGGTGAAAATAGGGTTAGTTCCCTGGAGTGTTTCTTCATTTGCAGCATATGAATTTACTAATTTAGCAGACTATCGTTTATTACATATCTATTGAGTATAAACTAATGCAAAAGCTCAGAAGCATGCAGGCGGGTGAGGTGATAAAGCATGCCATTAAGGCCAAATGCTTATTCTCTGGTTTTACTGGTTGTGCTGTTGCTACAAAACTGGAGGCAAGGACAAATGAAGTAAGAATCCTGTAAGCCCATAGTTATTTACATGTTTGGAATGGAGCGGGGGGGGAAGACTGTCATAATTTAGATTGAAGCCCTTGGGTCTGTTGTGAGTGTTCATGTTCTATTAATACAGTAGGGAAATAAGACTGATTAGAACTCCATGGCTGTTCCTGTTTAGATTAATCAAGTTAAAGATGTGAAGGGTATGAACCACAGAAAGCATTCAAAAATTCATGTGACTCAGTCAATTAAATTTCTTTGTTCATTCCTATCTGGATACTGTTTTTTTCACAATCGTGTTTTGTGGCTTTTTTTAAAAAAGAAAATATAGCCTTTGCTTAGAATTCAAGTCAGAAGACAGCGTTTTTTCCCCATACCTTGGAAAAATTTGTTGATCATAAGAGTTTATTTTCTGAGGGCCACTCACTGTATTTAACACAGACTCTATCTTTGGTACCTTTCTGTTGTAGTGCAACCAAGCAGTTGCTGTTGAAATAGGGGAAGATGTAGCTTTCAAGTAATTCACAGCTTTTCCTTCACTTCCAGTAATGTAAAGAAAATGGTTTGGCTTTTCCATTTAAAACATGTAGGCCTTTAAAATACTATTTGAGTTAATGAAGAACGAATATAATAGGAGGTTTGTGTTAAAATTTAAATCTGTAAGCATTAAATAAATTCTTTAAAAAATTCCTGTTCTTGCACTCATTTAAAATATCTGACTTTTCTATTTCTTACCATTTTCTTGGGTTTTTTGCAGCCTATTAAATTTTGTGACTGAAATAAGGAATGCAAATTCTATTAATATTTTAATGCCTCAGAGGTATTGAGACTTGCTATGAAATTACACTGCTCACAAAAACATGCCAAAACATCTGAGGCTTTTGTTTATCACCCAGTTGAAATACAGTAACTAACAACTCCTTCATATTTAAGTGGTAAAGAAACAAAACTGCATCCTCTAACTGTTAATAACCTTGTTAACAACGTTCTAAATGTATTCTATAAAGACACCTACAAGGTTTTGCCACCGTAGACAAGCACAGTATTGTTTCTTTCTGTGTCTTTATTCCTGTCTCTTTGTATCTACCAGCTCTGGTATATTAAAAAAACTGAAAAAAGCAATCAGAAATCTGTAACAAATTGCATTTGTTATTGGAGATTTGTCTGGCCACCAGAGGTCACCCTAAATAGTTTGAAAGATCTTTGTCAAGCTGATGTATTGCTAAGAGAATTACTAATGAAGTAAGCTATTTGATTACTAAGTAATGCTAAAATAATTACTAATCACTGTTAGCTTCTATGATTTTTTTTTTTCTCCTTTGCTTTTGTTTCATATTCCTGCAATGGTCTTTTCAGTTAGGATGTTAAAATACATGCTGCTGTAGGCTTAGAATTGAGGCTGCCTCTACTTTAAATTATCTAGTGTGACTAGGTATTGCAGCATCTTAATAAATTGTGGATAGCTGAAATATTTTCAAAGCCAGGCACTTAATGACAGAAAACCAGTCAATTCAATTTTTAAAAATCGTTTCTGAAGTATAGCTTAAGACTCTGGTTGTATTTATTAGTAGTGAATTAAGATTGTTTCTATGAGTCTCATTACTTGCAAAAATTTGTGCTGTGGTAATTTGAAAGCCAAGCAAAAAAACTCCATATGGTTTATGACAAATATACATGTATGGTTCATTATTTTAAAACAATTCTCTAAATGTGGTGTATTTCTTCCTGTAACTTAGGGTTACTTCAATTGCTGACAGACTGAATGTGGAATTTGCTCTCATTCATAAGGAAAGAAAGAAAGCAAATGAAGTGGACAGAATGGTCTTGGTTGGTGATGTGAAAGACAGAGTAGCAATTCTTGTTGATGATATGGCTGACACATGTGGCACAATATGTCATGCAGCAGACAAGTAAGTATTACTATGAACTGTCCCATTGTCTTGCTGTACCGCAACCTGCAGATAGTCAATAAATGCAGTTGCTGGGTCCTGCATGCTTATAATCCACCCTGACGTCTGTAACCTGAAGTCACTCTTGTCCTTGAGTCTGTAGGTTGCAGTCCTGTGATCAAGCTGTTCTTTAGAGATCTTAATATTTGTCTTTAATATTTGTTCTTTAGAACATGGAATTGAGAAAATACTTCCAGAAATTTATTTAGAAAGGGTACAGTATAAATAAAGCCATATAATTTGTAAGGGACTTGGGCCATCTAGTACATTTTTCAGTTCAAAGGCAGAAATGACAGCTAGGAAAATCATTCTCTTCTTAAACCTCATCATGGAGCCTTTCCACTCTCCTTAGGCAATCTTCCACAAAGCTTTACTAGATTTAATATTGGAAAGTATTTTCTCCGGAGTATTTAATGCATGTTTAACATTAATGTACGTCTTCAGTATAAAACTACTTGTCCTTTTCATCCAGAGAGGTGAGAATAAGTTTTCCTGTCTTTTTTCTGGAAGTTGAAAAGTATTTTCATTCCCCTCTAACTTCAGCTTGTTCAGTCCTTGTGCATACTTTCTAGACTTCTGCTCTGTTACTGATGCCCTCTGGATTCTTTCCAGTTGGTCCACTTTTTGGAGTGGAGCATGTGAATGGAGACTCACTATCTTAACTGAAGCCCTAGCAGTGCTAAGTAGAAAAGATTATTTTATGGATTTCCAGCTTGCTTTATGCTGGTACATTTTAGTGTAGCAGTAGGATTTTTTTTCCACAGAAATTGTCATTGACTGCACTGAACTTTGGTAATGTCTATAGCCTTTAAAAATTGCTGATTCCTGAACAGATTAATTCTTTCTATTGCTGTAGCTTCACAATTCAATATATATGGCAGTAACTCTAGCTTCAAAATCATCTTGACTATTGGAGAAATGTACTAAAATTTATTAAGTGAGGTGTTACAGTTGAGCAATACTAGACTAAAATGCTTCTGTCCCCTCATATCCAAATATGTGCTACCAACTTCAGTTTGGGAGGTCAAGGGCTGCAATCTAAACTTGGCCAGAGTCCTGAGGTTTTAAATCTTCCTTTCAGAGATCCTGTATTTTGATACTGTTTGCAGCAAAGCCCACCTCCATGTGATTGTAAATAGTGCACATTAGAATGGGAAGGAACTGCTGAGGAGCAAGACACAGGAATGTTTTTAATTGTTGTTGCTGAACACTTACAGTGGCATTGCTGCTCTTGGATGTAATCCTTTCTAAAGTTAGCATGTCTCAGTTGAGAACATTTTTAATTGATATTCCTGTCAAATATATTTGTAGACACTATAGAGAGTATCAAATAGTCTTGTATCCAAAACAGGTCCATGTCGTACTACTTGCCTGAGTCTATTTGAATCATAGAATCATTTAGGTTGGAAAAGACCTTAAGATCCTATAGTCTACTCATTAACCTAATACTGCCAAGTTCACCACTAAACCATGTCCCTAAGCACCACATGTACACATCTTTAAAATCTCCAGGGGTGGTGACTCCACCACTGGCAGCCTGTTCCAATGCTTGACAACCCTTTGTTAAGAAATTTTTCCTAATATTCAATCTAAACCTCACCTGATGCAATTTAAGGCCATTTTCTCTTGTCCTATCACTTGTTACTCTGGAGAAGAGACTGACACCCATCTTGCTATAACCTCCTTTCAGACATTATAAAGCCTCTTCTTCTCTAGGCTAAACAACTGCAGTACCTTCAGCCACCCCTCATAATACTTGTGCTCTAGACCCTTCATCATCTTTTTTGCCCTTCTTTGGACATGTTCCAGCACCTCAGTGTCTGTCTTGTAGTGAGGGGCCCAAAATTAAACACAACATTTGAGATACAGCCTCATCAGTGCTGAGGATGGGAGGACAATCACTTCCTTAGTCTTGCTGGCCATGCTATTTCTGATACAAGCCTGGATGCTATTGGCATTTTTGAACACCTGGGCATGCTGCTGGTTCATGATCAGCCACCTGTTGACCAGCACCCCCAGGTCCTTTTCTACCAGGCAGCTTTCCAGCTACCCTTCCCCCCAAGCCTGTAGACTTACATGGGGTTGTTATGACCTAGGTGCAGGACCCAGTACTGAGCCTTGTTGAGCCTCATACAACTGGCCTCAGCATATTGATCCAGCCTGTCCAGATCCCTCTGTAGAGCCTTCCTAATCTCAAGCAGATCAGCGTTCCTGCTCAACTTGGTAATCAGCAAAATCCCTATGGGTGCACTCGATCTCCTCATCCAGATCATTAATAAAGATATTAAACAGAATTGGCCCCAGTACTGAGTCCTGGAGAACATCACTTGTGACTGATTGCCAAGTGGATTTAACTCCATTCACCACACTCTTTGGGCCTGGCCATCTAGCCAGTTTTTTACACAGCAAAAAATGTCTGCCCATCCAGGCTATGAACCAGTTTCTCCAGAAGAATGCTGTGGAAAACAGTGTCAAAACAACAGGGTGAAGCTTAAGTGAGCTAGATGTTACTGTTGGTGGTTTGAGGTAAAGATCATCCCTTGAGTTTACAGTCTTTACTTGCAGGCTTGCTGTTTGCCTCTAGATAAAAAAGGATGTCAAAAAATCATGACAGAGGTATTCATACAATCCTGTGTTTCTTTTCACTTTGGAAAATTGATGGAATTTTGCAAAGACTTTTGCAGTTGTTAGCTATCCACATACTAATCTGCATCCAACCACAGAGTGTGCATCTGCGCTGTGCCCTTTGTAGATCAAAATCACAAATTGCCTAGCCAGTGTTTTTTATACCCCTGTACATAGAGGAAGTTAATTCCTGTGAAAAAGGAGGCCTTTATTTCTTTCCTGTTATGAAAGAAGCACTTCTTTATTTACATACAATAGGCTTCTATAGAGCAAATTCTGAAACCATCAGAAACCTTAAATGTATTTGTTGTGTTCACTAAGAACAATACTTTTGTTTGAGTGATGGTGCCTTATATCATGTTCTTGGTATGAAGTAGAGCTTTTCATTAATGCTAAATCTAGGTGAAATGTACTTTGTGCTTACTTAGACTTGCTCACCAACATACCTTTTAGATCTCTTTTTATCTCGGCAACTTAGATACATGTCTTGGCTCATCTACTTAAGATGCATTTTCAGGTACAGCAGGTCAGCTTGCTTCAGTACAAACCTAAGTACATACCCTTGTACATATTCACCATGTCATAGTGCATCTTCTTTGTAGGTTGCAGCTCCTAAATGTAATGCTGAGAATGACCAGAAAACTTTGGTTCTGAGCCATTGAAAATGAGATGATATTTCTGTGGTTTTTGTCTTTTTTGTCTTACTGTACTTATGCAATGATCTGATGAAGTACCACTCTTCAGGGCCTCTGTTTGTAAGACTAGTAAAGCAGCTAGGATGTAGCTGAGCATCTGAAGGCAGAGAGGCCAGTCAAAAACAAATTAAGATATTCTGACTCCTTCCCAAGGTGTTCTAGTTCTTTGATTTATACTTTTTTTTCTGCTGTGCTTAGATCAGCAGCATGTCTTCTCACAACCTGGCAGTAAGCTAGGCTTTTAATTAGTAACATTTCTTCTTCATCAGAAACTCTTTCCAAGCAGAATTATTTGAATTGCAAATTAAAATAAATGTGAACAATAACGGAGGCACAATAGAGCTGTGAATACTGCCATCCAATCTACTTCATTTTTGACTGATTAATATAGAAAACTTGCACTAGAATTCAGTTTTATGTTGTGCTGACATGGACAGAAGTGCAGCATTTTAGATTAGTATCACTGCTACTGATAAGAACTTTTAATTAGCAGGGTTTTTTTTTTTTTGTGAGTTCCATATAACCTGGAAAAGTTTAAAATTCTCTGAATTATTTTGTAGATATTTGTATCTTCCTGTATCTTCTAGGAAAAAATTGTGTGTAAAATGTATTTTAAAGATTTGTATCTGGCTTCATCTATAGCCACGTATGTAAACATGCATCACGGTATACTTTTCCTTTGTGTTCTACAGGTTAGTGTCTGCTGGAGCTACTAAAGTTTATGCTATTCTTACTCATGGCATCTTCTCTGGTCCTGCTATTTCTCGGATTAATAATGCATCATTTGAGGCTGTTGTGGTAACTAACACAATCCCCCAAGAAGAGAAAATGAAACACTGCCCAAAAATTCAGGTACAGTGGTGTTTTTGTCATCTGTTTAAACTCTGGATTTGTATTTTACTGTTTGCTGATGCTAGAATTTGTGCCTTGAGAGGAAAATAGTATTTTAAAATACATTGTTTGCGGAACACCTTGCTAAAACATGCCAAATTACTGTACTACCTGAATCCCCTTAAAACAGTTAAGTACTGCAAAATATTTGGTATTTGCAACAGATTATGTCAAGCAAAAAGTGGGAAATATAAAATTGGCTGGTTTGAGGGTTTTGTTTTTATCAATAAGTTCCTACATAAAAATTTTGTATGATTGTTATGTTATTGTGGATGCTACAGAAACCTTAGATGACTTCATTATTTTTAAATACAATAATGAAAATGCTCAAGACAATGACACCTGTTTCTTTCCAAAAACCAAACTGAAAATAGAAAGCTGTCTTAACATCAGTAGCTTTTACATGAGAAGTCATATGTCTTTTCTGAGTTTTTTCCTTACTACAGAGTGAAAAAAAGCATAAAAGATTGTTTTCGTTAATGCAACATTGAATTTTTAAAAGCTTAACACTTATTTGGTATTTATTTAAACAAGGAATGCACTTAAAAGGTATGCTTCCTGTAAGCTGTGTGTGTCAAGTGGACACTGCCATCTGATGGCTAGAGTAGGGTTTTTTTGACAGCATGCCCTGTGCCAGAAGTCTTCACCAGTATGCCTCTGCAGGGATCTTATTCAGTGCTTTCTTAATTTTTGAGTTTGTACTTTGTGTTAATGTGGTTCTTAAGTATATGTTAAGTACTTAATGCTTTAATGTTACTTTACTCCCTAGAGGGGGTAAGAGAACACAATGTTAAACTGAATATTTGTTCATATGTTTGAGCTGTACAGTTTACTGTTCTTGGCATCCCATAAGACTTATCTTGATTTTTTTTTTTTTTTTCAGTTTATTGACATTTCTATGATCCTGGCTGAGGCAATTCGAAGAACACACAATGGTGAATCTGTGTCTTACCTGTTCAGTCATGTCCCCTTGTAACTGCAGGAGATTATACTGCATGTTTGAAAAGGTCCTCTCAGCTAGCACTTTTGGTTTTAATGTTTCTCAACGTAAGAAATCAATATCTTCGTACAATTCCAGAGCTTGTATGTTTAATTATTATATTTGTCTTATAATTACTATTTGTTCTTTGTAAATGGGCAATAAATCTCTGTCTTGCGGAAGCTTCATGAATTCCTTAGAGTCTGGAAGCCTTGTGGGTTGAGTAAGTTCTCTTTTATGTGTCTGTCCTCACTTCCTGCTAAACTGCTGCTTCAGATCTGTTTTTCTATACAGAACTACAAACTGTTCATAAAACTTAATGGGATGTATACATGTAAGATAATTTTCTGTGTTAAGATAAATGCTGCAGACTTGGGTATCTTCTATCTATTCATCTGTCAGGCAAGCAGCTGTTGGCTTTTGTTTTGTTAACTATCATGAATAGTATTTTGTAAGCCCTAGCAGAATGTAAACTTCATGTTAATTTTGAGGAACTGTTGACACATCCATAGTATTAACTGTTTCATACACTTGATGTTCTTTTTTCCACAAGACATGGCTGTGGTTTTCTTTTGTAAAGATCTCATTATATTAAATCGTTTGCTTAACATCTATTCTGTGCAGTTTTTGTCTTCAGTCATAAGATTAATGTTTTGGTATTCCTGGGATGATTCATTTCATGTGTTTCAATAATAAGGACCAGTCTTTAATCATGAAAAGTTTGGTTTAAATTCTGTTTTTTTTCCCCGTAGCTTTTGACATTCCTTGAGTGTGATCATATGAATCATTTCGTAACAGTTTTCCTATTTATATTGTAAAGCTTCACGTGCAAAGTCCAAACAGCAAATTTAAACACACGGATATTTATACAGGCTGGTGTCTGTCCCCATTTACTTGATTAAAAAGTATCTCAAAAAACTTGTTTTTTCAGACTGCACAGTCAACAGAGCTTTAGGTTTCCATTCATAGTACCACACTACTGTGCAACAAGTGAACTATGGTAGACTGACTAGTCTCAAATACTTTAACACTAGAAAGTTAAAATCACTATGAAAATAGTTTTTCTTCTTGTATGCTGGGAAGGCTTATGGTTAAGTAGTGGTAATGCAGTCAGTAATGGATTCTGGGAGAAAAAACCCAAATCTAATATTGTAATTTTAAGTCTTTCAATCCTTCTATGGAGTGTTTTCAGTCTTCCTGCTAGAAAGTAAGAGTATCTGTGTATTAAGATAGCTTCCTGCACCTAGATCATGAGAAAACTGTTTCCTACCAGAAATTGCAGTTGTTAATTACAAAAGCATTTACCATATGTGAGATACTTCTTTACTTTGGAGCTGCATAAAAAAAGCCTTATTTCATCCTACATTGCTTTTTCTGAGAAATATCTATAATGATTTGGTGTTATATTATAAAATGAATTTTTCCATTCCAATTAAGACAGTCTTCAGACAGACTGTTTTTTTGCTTTCTCTAAGAATTAATCTATTTTGCCTTTATAATTTTTTTTTCCAGTAATTCTTTATTTCTTCTGGGGTTTTCTTTTTCTATAGGAATGAGTAAAACAGAATTTCACGTGTACTGCTTTCAATACAGCAATGGGGTATATAAGATATGGTGATGAGAAGTCAGTTCAGTGTCCAGTTCTCAGAGGAATTCCTTGTTACAGTTGAATTTTCAAAAGTATGTTATAACACAGTAGAAATGAGTTTAAATACCTGTTTTATTCAGTAAAGCAATTTTTAAAACATATTTAACTTATTTTCTTGAAAATATGACTTCACAGTTGTTAACCCCAAGTCTGTGGCCACATAATTATACCAAAGTTTAGACTTTATTGATACACAAAAGGTATACAATACTTCTAATGTACTGTACCAATTCAGCTGTTTTACAGTTCAGATCTTTGTTACAAACAAAATGCTGAGTTGTTTGCCTTTACTGTGCACAAGTATTATAAACAAATCTTGAAAGTTGCTTCTGCCTAGAAACTGCTTGTGGTTTTATTATTTTGATATGCTTTTTTCTTTTTCCTGAAGACCATGACCTGCACAGGTCAAATAGGGAAGAATGTAGGCATTGATTCTCATGCAAACCTTGCTCATAAATCAGGTTCCAGCTGTCTTGGACATAAGGATGAGCTGTTAATCATACTAGACCGGTACACATCTTTTTAATAAGACCATCCTTCTCTTTTTTATGGCCTGACAGAAGAGACACAATGTTTAAATTTTGTTGGGAGTTTGGGTTAATGCTTTATGAGCAGCTGAAGTTGTTATTTCTCAGAGTGTTGTAAGCAAGCCCACTCAACTGTATTTAACAGGATGAGATGGGGAAAAGAGCAGAAGGAAAACACAGAAATAAGCTTACTGTGTCTGCTGCATTTTGTGCACTTGAAATGCTTCTGAAGAGTTATAGGTGAGTTCCTATAGCTCTGTGAAAACTCCATCCCTTTTGACAGAATCAACAGGTGTGGGAACAGAAAATTGTGAGGTGTTTGGTATTTAATGCTCTATAGTTTCCAGGCCATGCTGGGGTTCTGGTCTGAAGATCAGATGACAGTTCAGCCTGGTGGTAAGCTTTCATTTCTCATCAGATTTATTTTGAAATAAAGGAAAAAATACCACATTGCATAGCACAAGTTAGAGGTTATAGCTCATACTTGCCTATAAACCTTATTTTGATTCATGCTACTGTCCTAGTGGAAGCACAAAATTTTGCCTTTCTCCATAAAAGGTTTTTACTTCAAGTTTGCAGGATTTCTGAAAGCTCTTGTTATGGACTCTGGGGTTTTTAGATGTCAAAAGATAAGAGCCTGTTGCTGAGGCAGGGGGCTATCGAGAGCGAAACCTGACAATGGTGGAGGTGTCCTTACTACTGGAGGGCCACAGGTCTCACCATCCAGCAGCAGCCCTAGTCCAAGTTCCCCACTTAAGCCTTGTAACTACTTGGTTTTATAGACAGTATCTGTGTGCTGCTACGCCTCCCTGTCCTGTGGTGGGACTGTCACAACTACCTGATGGGCATGTGCCTGGGACCTTCAAGGCCAGTAAGGCAAGGACCAGTTAGCCGAGCACCCAGGAACCTTGAGGTTGGTAGGGAGAGGAAGAAGAAATCTGTTTGGTTTATCTACTTGGTTCACAGTAGCTTCAGGACCTCAGAATGAGGGGAAAGGGAAGGAGTATGTGATCGTCACAGGGAATGTCTGTTTTTGCCTCATAAAATGGTGTGATTTAAGCTAACCTCATTACCAGGGGTTGGGGAGCAGAGGGTACCAGTGACAGTGCTGCACATCAACTCTTCACCTCTGAAGTTACTTTCGGGGGATGACAGGACTGAGGCACATGCCCTTCCACTCAGCTCTGAGGAGGCCTCCAGTCCCACCAGTGCCTGCAGCGGCAAGACCTAGAGAAAGAATGGTGCGAGGGAAAGGGGAAATCCTGTCCCTGTGGCTCCGGGACAGGATCCAGGGCAGCCTGGGAGGAAGGGTGAGTGAAAGCCTGTGCCACTGTAAGAGGCAGGCCTTTGGCCTCAGTTACACAAGTTAATGTCATGTCTTATGCAATGAGGTATGTGCAGTATCCAACTAGATGTAGATATGTACAATATATACATTATATAATACATATATCTATATCATATAGATATTTTGTATGTGTAGAGGGAGAAAGGAAATCATTCCCTATCAATTGCAGTGCATGAAATTAGGATCAAAATAACCTCTGTTGGGTAGATAACCTCTAGCAGTAAATAACCTTTTCCATAAAAATGTCATGCACAATTTTTTAAAAGGCAATATCAAGCCCTATAATAAGTGACACTGTCGTGTTTCGTGGTCTCCAGAAGCCCATAAATTGACACACTTGAGTGTTTAATATGATCATCCTTACAGATGCTTGCTTGCCCTAATCTTAAACCTTCATTCTGTATAGAGCTGCTTTCTTGCTGTGTGATTTGGTCGGGTCCATCAGTGCCCGAGTTCTACATTGTTCTGTAGAGGCTGTTCCAGTGCTCCCTCAGTGCTCTTGCCTGAGAATGACTCCACAGACCATGGCAGGATTGCCTACATGAAACCTTTCAAATCAGGGTGGTCCTGCAGCCTAGTTATTTCATCACCAAGAAATGGAACTTGGACTTGAGGATATCCAATTCACAAGTGCCAAAACTACTCTGAACCTGCCACTTGGATGAATTGCTGGCAGTTCCCTCATTAGTGTGCACCACCACTTCCAGTATTACTGCCTTAGCACTTCTCCTCATCATCATCATCTCCCAGAGGAAGGCAGCAATTCCCTCTGTGGCTACCCTGTCTTACTGACCCCTTAGGAATGGGGAAACGGGAGAGGTGTAGTTGCTGACCCTGGAGAGACTGGAAACTACCTGCAATTTAAGGTATTTCTAAATGACTACTGCCTCCCTTTCAGGTAACTCACTTTCAGTAACAGGAATGCCAGGTGCCTTTCCATTCAGCAAGCAGTTTTAACCTGCTGTATACACCAAATGGTCAGTCTTGGCACTGGGGCAGCCTGGGCTAGCCTCAGCTTTCAGAAATGGGAAAGGCTGTTTCTGCTTAGTGTCTCCCTCAGCTCATGTCAGCACATGGGGCAGTTGGGTAAGCTCTTAGCACAGATCTGTGAGGGTCTCCTCCCACAACAGAGATCTGAGAGCTTCCTCTGCCCTTGTTGTAAGGCAATATATTCTACTGTTGTCTTCTGTTTATTGTTCTGGTTATTTTTAGTGCCTGGAAACGCATTTCTGCAACCACTATCAGCAAAGAGCCCACATTGTTACACCCCTTAAGGCTTCTGAAAGCCTTTTGTTATCATTTCCTCAATTTTGCTATCCGTTTCCACTTGTCGTTATTTTCGCACATCTCTCTACATCAGCTTAAAGAGTCATTTTTTGTCTTTCAAAAATTGAGCAACTTAACTTATCTCTCTGATCATTTCCTGGGTAGGTTATGCAATGATACACTGAACGTCGTATTAACCATGAATACTTGGGTGCTGTTATAATTATTGGTATGAGGGTTAGCACATTAGAGAAAAGACAAGACTTTAAGACTTTAAGAAAACTACCCAGCCTTAGGATAAACATAGGAGAATCCTGATTTTGGTAGACCAACAAAAGCAGCTTGCTGTAAATTTTCCTTTAGAAGACAGAAGAGGAAAAAAAAAAAGC